AGCTTTATTATAGTATTTGAATAGAATATGTGGCAACGATTAGATAATTCTTTAAATGATATACATATTTTGCATTCTGAGTTATAATATGAATGAAATATAATACTGTTAAGTAAACCCAGCGCCAGAGTGTCGCTATGGTAAACAAAGTGAATTTTAATGAATGCATTTATTCTATTGTGGTTTATGCGCTGTCGGCGAAGTAGGTTTAATTCAATCTAATAAGTTTAAATAAAATGCAAGAAAAAATGCGTATAATTTAATATTCCGTACAAGGAAGTCATGTGGTGTACACATCAGATTTTTTTGTAGTAGTAGCAATAATAATAATAATAAGGGAAGTAAAGGAAACGTTCCGGCATAACGTAATAAGCAGCTTTTTTTTTAGATCATTAGAAATCTTTGATGATTCTTATTGATTTGTTGATATCGGCATGCGTCATTCAAGTTTGTTCAGGTTTGGCGGAATAGTAGCTGCGATAAGTCTTTCTATATATTTATCGTCCACTATTTAGAAAAAGTACTAATTAGCTCTCTGTAATTCATGTACTGTTAACTTGTAAAAAGCTGCAAGTCTAAAAATCAAAGTCATAGATCTTACATCAAATAAATACACTGAACAAAAATATTGGTTACTTGCGCATGGTTACTTGATGATATAGCATATCAAAAATAAATTTAACTTCTTCAAAGATTTACGGAAGGAACAATCTAAGCAAGAAACTAATTCTAAATTTGCTACTGTTTCTTTCTAACTAAAAATTTCCATTTCAGGTTATCAAAAGCTTGACTTCAGGTTTCGTAAAGTACTTTCGGTTCTTTAATTATACAGGAAAATTACACCGGCTGAGTTACTGGTAACCGCTATTTTCCAAAACTATGGAAAATGCCTAAAACCGGTGTTGTTTCCTGAAAGAGTAAAGCTAAATGATTCATTCACATACAAATAACTCTGTCTTGTCCGTTCATTGAGCAATATTTTAGATAATTTATAAAACATTAATCAATACCATATGGCCTAGTGATCTTCCTCTGCCATTTGTGTCATCACCTAATACTACTGATATTGTAAATACTTACTATTATTTTAAAGAAGAATGAATATAAACGTATCATAATTACTCTTAATATAAAACTGGTGTTTAATAGTAATTTATTCTGAACATCTGATTGATTTGCTGTGATAATCAAATTATTTAAAAGCGTATCTGCCTATGAGAATTTTCTCTATATTTTGATAAAATTTAGAAGTTATTTAGCTGTTGGAGAAGGAGTGTACGATGGATGGAGTTTTAATAAATAAATTTACTGAAAAGGAGAACCTGGAGGTGTTTCATCTTAGGTCTCGGATTGTGGAACTTATTGGATAAACTTGCAACTCTACATATGCCAAACTATACATTTAGAAGCTTACGTAGATGATCTGCTGTTATTAATAGTGAGTGATAACACCAAAGCGTTCAAAAAGGGTATAGGGAATCTTACGTTAATTAACCAGTTATTTATAATTTCATTCTTTACTATAATTTATTTAAGTATTCCTCGCCAGGGCCAAATGAGTAGCCAGTATTTAAACTGATATTTTTTAAATTTTAAGGCAGAGAGGGGTTCTAGCATCGTGTGCACGCTCCATTCTTAGTTTCCTGCCACCTCTGATAGTTGTAATAATTCAGCTTTACGTGTTCTCGCTGCCGACATTTAAATTAGGACGCTCCGATACAGTCAGTGAGCCAGCTTCTAGTATAGGAATTAATTGCGGAGTCTTTGACAACCATTCCACATTTTACTTTAATTTAATTAAATTACTTAAATTTGTTCTGTTTATTTGCATCACTATTACCATTGTAGTTATATTATAGCACAAGAGAGTGCGTTTGTATTCTAAATTCTGTTTAAATAAAAAGGTTATTTTTAACCTTCTCATGACTTTGTCGTTCTTTCAGACATGGTGATGATTCGCTTCACGTCTCTTTGAGTCATTGGACTAATAGCATTACGAGATCAAGTGTAACCATACAGATGGTGCCCCAACAAATTACGAATCATGCCGCAAGAACATTTAGTCTCCTCTTTCCCTCCCCCTTTTCCCCAAGATTGCAGGCTACACCGGCATCAGGAAGTCCAACGGAAAACTTTACACATGAGAATTCTAAAATAATATGGAATTGCATGAAAAGACATATCAAAGTTATACGGTATTCCTCCCGCTTTCCTAGCCTGCGTTCGTGGTGTAGTGGTTCAGCACCCTGGGTCGGTACTCCAGAGGTCCGCGGTTCGATTCCCGGCGAAGGCTGTTGCTAATTTTTCAATCGCTCTTGCTTCCAAATATCCTAATGTCTCTACAGTGGCGCCCGAACCCAAAGGTGGTGTTGGATGAGGATTCTCCGCACCCAGAATTTGGCGATTGGGTCCCCTAAAAACCCCAGTCGACCTTTAAAAAAGGGGAGTATATAAGGTATTTCTCCCGCTTTCCTAGCCTGCCTTCGTGGTGTAGTGGTTCTACACGCTGGGGCGGTATTCCAGAGTTCCGAGGTTCGATTCCCGGCGAAGGCGGTTGCTAATTTTTCAATCTCTCTCGCTTCCAAATATCCTAATGGTAGAAACAACCTCATCTAACGAATGTGGAACTGCTTATAAAATATAAAAAGAAAATATTCATGAAATGGCAAAATGGGGAACTGGAAAATATACAGCGATATTTTAAAAGATTATCACCAAAAAAATTATGGACGGAAAGAGATTTATGCAGCTAGCCTCATCAATGTAGACTTTCTAAAAACTGTATGCAAATTTAAGAAGATTAACATAGAAGCGAATGCTTCGAATTTTATATAGGAGTCTGGAAAATGTTTATTGTAAGATACGAGTTTCCCAGAAAGGCAGTGGCGACATTTATAATTTGATTTTTAGCAGTGGTATAAGTAAAAGAGCTGAAGAAATTGTTAAGTAATTTAATTTATGCACCCAGAAATGTGGATAGTTACTTATATCAACATAAATATTTGTTTGGTATTGTTTGTTATAATTGTGCTATGCAGTCTAGAAAAATTAGTAATAGGCTTTATATTATATAGTTAGTTAACTGCTGTGATATTATTTTGTCCTATAGCAGAATGTTTAATATTATTCAGTTTAGTATAGAAAAGAGATTGGATTTATATTGGCATTTGAATTTATGCTGGCATCCTGATGTAGGAGCTTTCTGGATTTATAAATTTCCTAAGCAGATGCTGTTGGCTTAAACTTATATGGATGACTGTGTTCCCCTTAGATTCTTGATTAAACTCAAAACACAATAGACATTCTTACTATTCAATCATCGGCAATTCAATTTTTAGTGTCTTAAGAATATATGAATATGCTATTAAAAAGATACTTTAGCCCAGTAATGGAATATTATGAATAATTTATGCAATTTCATTGCAAATATCTTTCAAATATTTACTTTGTTGCTAGGGGGATACGAAAATTAACTTAACTAACGGAAAGATTTTTCATGTTATAAGCGTGGATTATAATCTGGTGATGAGGCTATGGTAGTGCTGTATTCTTATAGAATGGTGCATTTCATATTTATTGGTTTTACATTAGTATGAATATAAATCAATTGAATTACCCGAGCTTCATGGCTGTTTTGTGTTACCTTAGTCTCCTGTGCATCTACCGCTGGTCGATAGCTCCAAGAACGATAAAATAAATACTGCATCTCAAAACAGCCTTCTCTTATCTTTGTCTACTAAATATTTCAATTCTGTATACGTCGTGAATGAATTCCTGATGGCGTTCGTAGGAGGTTAATTATTCCGAACACGCAGAGGGCGCACCGTATACATGACGGTCAAGATGATGACCTTTACTGGAAATACAATATTCCTTTCATTGTTTTATTTAGTAAGGTTATATTAGTTTCTCGAAAAGATGAAAATATGTTATCTTAGAGGCATATATTGACGCGAAGCTTTAGAAACATTTCTTGCGAAGGCTTTCTTCAGTTACTGACGTTAAGTAGGAATAGAAAACATAAATATTCAGTGTAATATCTGGGAGTTAATACCTTTTTGATGAAGGTTGACGATAGATTTTTAGTTTTATTCCCAACTGATGTTCATATAAAAATAGTATTTATGTGCACTCCCATTTAACGTTCTAATTTTAAATACTGTTTGTGTATTGTAAAATTGAGAGGATACAATCACAGTGAAACTTCCGTTTCACAAAGTGAATTTATTTCTGAAAGCACTTTAACCGAAATGTTCGTAAATTGAAACAAGTTTCTACATAGGTATAACTGTAAAATCGCCAGGAATCCATCGCCATTCCTGGATGACAGTTGATTACTTATGTAAACTTTACAACACAAACGTTGCATCTTAATCCCATTTTGTATACATTTTTCGCATGAAAAAAAAACGGAACCCCAAAACACTTATTCAAAACAAATGTTCTTAAACTGAGCTTTTGGCAAGGAATAGTGCCAGTTATTTCCTTTGCATCAATAGTTTGGGACGATTCCATAAAGAAGAAAGTAAACTGCAAACTTGTAAGGAAAATTCAAAGATTTTTTTAAGAATTATTCGTACGAGGCTGGTTTTAATATCGCTGTTATTCCACGCATTGATATTGAAAATTTTGAGTAATATTGCGGAAAAGATTAAAGGAAAGCATTTGCGGGCACTCCTTATCAAATTTTCGTAATCGTAGTCTTTGTTGTCTATTCCGATGCTATTCTTGAAGAGTATCGATTAATTTATTTTACTCATGGAAGTAAGATGAATGATAAGTTTGACATTACTTTTGTTGTTTATGAAGGTAAACACTATAAAGAGACTTCAAACAATATAAAATTAGTGATGAGTGCTATGTGTTTTAGAGTGAGTTCCTATGCTTAAACCTTGCTATGAAATGGATTGTCTCTTGTAGTGGTTAGAGATTAAAGAGCTGTGTAATATGTAGTGATTCTCTTTCTTCGCTACAGTTACTGCAGTAAATTACTGTTTCAGAGAAACTTGCTGCTGAAATTCAGGTTATTGTTAAGACCTTGCAAAATACTGAAATCGACATTCCATTTCATTATGCTCGTGGATACTGCGGAGATTTTAGAAATGAGAAGGCTGATGCTGTAGCAAAGATAACCACGAAACCTCACATTGATTTATATCTCTGTGTTCCAGTTTCTCATAGGAAGAGATTTTATAGAAATGATGCTGAGTAGAATTGAAACAGACAGTATCGTGCTTCACCAGAAGCACAATCGACAGAAAAAGGGTTTTTCTATAGTCTTTCACAAAATCAAAGTTGATCGTGTTTCAACAGATTTTAAATCCACTCCGTTTTGCTCAGGACATGGTAAATTTAAAAGCTATTAAAAGTGCCCCTTTTATTTGCTTCAAGTGCTTTGTGCAGCTGCGGTAGCGGTGATGGAGATGTTAATCATTTCTTCTTGACTGCGTTCATTATGTCCAGCAGAGGAACATACTCCAAGCCGCTTTAAAACACCTGTATGTATCTTGGCCACCAATTTTTCTGAACTTTTGAACTTTTACTGCCTAGAGAAACAATTTCTGATTTGCAGAATTTCATTCTCAATTTAGATTATTAAGTTCGTTTTGTTATATTACTTTATTTTTTAATTCTTTTAACTTTTTCAAAATTTTTCTTTTCTTCTTCGCAATGCTTTTGTACATTTGCTTATTAGTCCAAAGGGGCTTTGTCCCTGAAGGACTATTGTTTTCGTTTTGCGATTTTGCGTTGAATCGCTATAAATGTACGTTTCACTTTTCAAACTGTTGCCACCAAATGTTAAAGTCCTGCATTATATTTGAAGAAATTAAATAATGAAAAGTCTGCATAAATATATGTATGTCTCGCATTGTGATAAAAAAAACGGTACGTAGAGCCATCGAATTTTGAATGACGTAATTCTCTTACGAATATGGGCATGTGGAAGACCAAATTTGAAATTTGGAATTTGTTTTATTATCGGTTTCATATTTTGTAAACCTTTAACGAATTTTTGATTAACAAACTCAAGGATTTCAAAGCGAGCAATGGCAACACTCTACCGGGGAAAAAAAAAACCTTTTTATCTCCAGCGCGCGGAACTGTGTATCGGAAATCCTAAAGATAGGCTCATTTTAAAATTATTTTTCGACATTGCTATTGAACTGAATTTTATGGTTTAAATGCAAAGAACGTGATATTTAATAAATAAAGGTAACACACAAAACGTTAAAAAACGCCCCTTTGGACGTAATTTAAAATCTGAAATCTTTCAGTGTTTTTTTGTTTGTTTGTTTGTTTGTTAGTTAGTGCTCTAACTTACTGGTATAAATCTTGTGGTATTGTGGAACACTAGGGGTAGAAATTAACGAAGTTAACAGAAAGAGAATAAAGTAAGAAATAGGATCGAAGACATTTCTTCTAATCGCCTTTCGTTGTTGCTTCTGAACTGTTGCGGTTATTTTTTATTGAGATACGTTTTATGGTATTCTGGTAACTTCTGCACATGTTCATTATTAATTTCTAAGCCCATCGATTTACCTAGAGACACAGTATAATAGACAACAGGAAAAGTCATAACTGTCAAGGTCTGCCTGCAACTTACTCAAGCCATAATTTGCTCTAGGTCGAGCTAATGACTCTGTAAGTCATTTGATGACAAACTTTGTTATTTAGAGTTAATGGAAAATATTCAAATGATTTCACGGACGTTTTTGAGTAATTATTTGGCGTGTATTACCCCAAACACTTTCGAAATCGAAAAGTTGCCGATTTGAGTATTCATAGCTCAATATGCAATTCGTAATCCGAGGTGATTTCTGTTCAAATAATTTGCTCGTGAACCGAATTATTGGTGAGGTGAGACTTTCATGATTGGGGGATTCCACTATATTATAATTATTGTTGGAAATTCTGTTTATTAAGTATAAGTACTGTTGGGAAAAACGGTACTATTCAGCTTAATCAGATGCGGCTAAGCTAAGTGACTGACACGGCTGCACCCGTGTATGCACGGTTGCCTAGTGTTTTCGGAAACTTCATTAATAATTGCTCCTAAGGTATACGAAATTCTTTCTCTGAAAACTGTCAGAAATTCGCTAAATTAATACAAAATTGCTGAATGTAGTCAATCTGGCGACAGGAATTGTAGCTGAGGCTGTTAGGAGAATTTCTTCTTATATCTGGGCTTCTATTTAGTTGTTTTCACAGTTTAAACATTGGTAGATCCAGCATTTACAAGTACATATAGCCACAAATTCGGTTAAACAAAAGTCTATGCTAAAATATGGTACAAAATTTAACATAATAATGTACCGTATACTGATGTAAAATAAAATTTAGTACAAATAATAACTGATTAAACATTAGTTGAATCTTCATAAAGATTTTTATAAATATCTAAATTAAAATAATTCAGGTAAAATTAAATTTACTAGGAAAAACTATGCTGAAAATCACTACAGGAGGGGCATTGGAATATATGTAATTTAAGTTTCGCCTATTGCCGGGAAACACTTTCCTTAGTAAAGGCTAAAAACTGAAGACTGTAAGATTCGATGATCTACTGGGAGAACGGGAGCGCTAATGAAAAAGTAATGTCGAAATAGCAATATTGTAAAACACTCCTTGTAGAATTCTCTGCGAAATCTTTTATTACAAAATTGAGCGCGATGGAAATGCGTTATTTTCAAAATACGCAATTATGCAGCTTTGTTAACGAATCTGGAAGTGGGGAATTTGATAAACTTCGATTAAAGACCAGTTTGCCTGCTAAATATCATCTGTTAAAGCAGTGAGAGTTGACCTCGCCTAAATTAATATATTGTTACTGTAGAGAGGATAGGGGAGTCAAAGCTCTGGAAGATCGTTTCTTGTCCGCAGCTCTTTGCATAAATCAGAATTGAATACAGATTACTGGCTATTATTAACTGATTACTGGCTATATGCTTATGGGTAGAAAGCGGTATCAAGCGGAGTATGACCATCATTCTGAATATTCTTCGACAGCTTCAAAAATGATTGAACAATTTAGGTTACTGCTGCGCAAACGAGGGCTGTCTGACCTGAGGGTAGAAAAGAATTCGTGGAGGACGCTTTAAAAAGAAACTGGTTCATATTCACGTTATACACGAGCAGAACCAATCTCTCATGCAGCTTTCCCATTTACCGGGCTTTGAAGTTCGTATCAGACTACAAATGTTCAGCGATTTTACTTCTTAGCCTCCAATCGGCCCATTTTCAAACGGATAAACGGGCATGTAGTATATGAATTTAGACTAAAATGTTTCCAAATTCATAATGGGGCACCTTTGTCGTTTCATATGATACAGCCTAGCACTTATTGTTCAAAATTAGTTGATACTGCACATATGTATGTATTAAAGCAAACTTAGAATTAATGATATCGTGAAAATAGATTAAGGAGATAGCATAGAACGTAGAATGTTGAATCCGTAATGAACAGGAAGAATTTCAAGTGCGTAGAATGTTGATCCATAATGAAGAGGAAACTCGAAGCAGATTAAATCTTCATTTCTATTTCAGTAAACATGTTGCAGCCACAAACAACTTAGCATACTACTTGTGCCTTTTTCAAAATTTTAACATTTTTGACAGCTTTACAGTAAGAAGAAAGCAGCAGGCAAGTGCGTTGTTCAGGATGAATCTTAATTCACAATGAGTTAGTTTTGGTTCTCAAAATATTTGATGAGTTATTTATGCTGTAAAACTATTATTGGCTATTTGAGTTTCAGTTCCATTTACGTCACCAGCGTTATGCAAGAGTCATATGACATGGATTAACGACACAGTGCAGGAAAAGATTGTTTTTAGAACAATCTTTCAATCAGCAAGAAAATGGCGCAGTGCAGAAAAAGATTGTTTTTAGAACAGAGAAGAAAATTACTCAAAATAAGCATTCAGGGGCCATTGCTAATTTAAATTAAAATTTATCTTTTACATATTTTTGTATCTTAAATATATATAGGAAATAATTTGGAATGTTGGCATTGTAGATATGCCTAAAGAAGAAAGTTCAGTTCTGGACGAATTTTAATATTCCATTTTATTCTAACTGACAAAGAGTTTCACTAGCCAACACAGACAAATTCGCTCATCAAGCACCTGTTCCAAAACGCTGTCTGTATATTTCGTGTGTCCCTCCGGTAAGAAGCAGGAGCGGTGCGTCTTAACAAGCAAGAAAAGAGCAGTGTAAATGCGACGTATCTCGAATGAAATCATATTAAAGTGTCAGTTATAATTCTGAAATATTCCTATTGGCTGTTTTAAGTTTAGCTGTTTTTAATTTGCAAAACTATCTGCCTCATTAGCGTTTTTCAAGAATCATATGATAGGTGATTAATTTTACTTTAACTTCATATACAGGTACTGGTGTCACATAGTGAGGATTTTGAGTGATGGTAAACCTAGTGAATGCAGTCACAATTCTTGGTGCTTGCGTTCCCAGTTAAAGAGAATTGTGCCTTATGCGTGTGTAATACCCGCAGTGGTCACCTAAAAATCCCAAAGTTGGCACGCTGTTGCTCTTCTCGTTGCACTGTTGCATGTATCCGGATGCGCGGGAATCTGTAAGAAAGCATCTGCAGAATAGTGCACATAAGCTTTACGGCTGGGCTTTTCGATACATCCAAACTGCGCGCAACAATTCTTGCTATATGCAATGGACCTGCAGTAACGTATTATGTACAGCTTTAGCAGGAATAGATGGTCCTCCGGATAGTGGTCTATGACATGTGCATATAGATTCTTCAGATTTTTTTTCAAATAACGTGCAGTGTTTATGGAACATGGGTTTATTATTTCGCCGATGAACTCGCATGGCTTTGGCAGCAATTTCTTCGTTCATATAAAACAGCTTCATCAGTTCACCTCATTGTTTCCCCATGTAAGTGTCACCTTTTTAACACATTGGAGAACCTGACTGAAATAATAATTTCTTCACTACTTATTTAAAGTTTTTGCACAAGCAATGCCTTGCACATGGTGTTCTGTGACTGGTGCTTCTACTGTTTATCCCTGTGAATAACGCAAAGTGCATCAGTGCACCTTCTGTCTGTGTGCTCATTGGTCCTTTACAATGTTCTTCTTTGCAAATGTTTAACGCCAGCAATTTTTGTCATAAGTGTATTGTTCCAAAGCTGCTTATTGTTTTAATGCACTAATCAATTTGTATACTAGGAAAAGTATGTCTGC